AGGACCTCCATCAGAGCGACCCACGGGCAACCCGTATTCCTTAGTGTTATGTATGGAAGCAGTGCTGCCTATTGAGCTGGAAGTTCAGTCGGCAAGAATTATCCGGAAAAGCCAGATCAGCGAAGCAGATATGGGCCGAGAATTATCATATGCAAACTCTTGGGTATGGAACGAAAAGCGATTGCGAGCAATCCACCCAAGACTTCAAGTTCTAATCAAAGGAAGAATAGCCGCATTTTAATAAAAAAGGTTAAAAAAAGCGGAAACTCGAAGAAGGTGTTGGTTCTGAAAGAAATTAGACACCAATCATAGACCGCACGTGGAAAGTTCCGTCCTCATTGGGCCGGGCCAACTATGTGTTTGAAGAAGATATTATCCGGCGAGCCGTCGTCTTGACTGATTTAGATGGTTTGGATTTACAAATCCATGGAATTAGATCAGTTGAAAAATATTATGTGTAATCATTGCATGATGTAAATGAACTACATTAGGCCTGATCTCTTGGAAAAAAAGAAATTATATATCGGAGAATTTATGTAGCAAACCCTCATTGGGTGCGGTCTAAGGCATTAGTAAAAAAAATCGTCATTTCACCCCAAAATTTCATGGCTTCTTTGCCCAAAAAAAAAGAAAAAAGGAAAATAAGAAAAAACCCGCAAGTTGAAAACCCGAGTGAAAGCGGACTAGGCCAAAAAGTCGGGCCCGCTAAGCTGAAAAACCCGAACCAAAAGGCACCTTAGGCAAAAGGAGCTCGCCTAAGCTGAAACCCGGAAAAGGGGCGTTTGGCAAAAAATTTAGAGCTTAAATAAATAAAGTTTGGAAAATGCCTTAGAAAGCTAAACAAACATTCTCAATTTAAGCAATAAAGTCAAAAATGAAGGAATCCCAAAATAAAGCTAAGTCCAAGACCAAAAGTATAAAAACATACATTCCAAAACCAAAATCCCAAATAAAATTCCAAACAACAATGAAAAGTCCAAAAAGCTATAGAAAGTCTAGCATCCCTCGTCCTCCGCGGGCCGGGGCATCCTCTGAGTCTCCTATCTGCCCAGCCTCCGCCGTGTCCGAGGAGCCAACATAATCTCCCTCACCAGTCCCAAACCCATCCTCTAAGCATCAAGCCTCGAACCCAAACCTTCGAGACGCTCGCAGTGCAGTCTTCACTTGTCTTCTCATTGCCAGGACAGTATAATAAACCGCCCGATACTCAGGAAGAAGTCTGAACACTCTGGCAGGGTAGCAAAGGCTAACCATTTTGAGTGATCTCTTAGCGCCAAGCCCTAAGGGACAGCTCGGTAACACCTGGCGGAGTGCATGGCCGAATCAGCCTAAAAAGTTCACTCTATAAAACCGAACAGTTTGAATCTATCACCCATTTGTCTTTAAAAACGCGCATTAAAGCGCAGTACCAAGTACAAGGTGAGGCCCACAGAAGATAAACCCAGAGAATGGCGAAAGCTGACCTGGATGAAACGAGTAACATTATGTACCAAAGGAACGAAACCACAATATCTCCATCGGGGCCCAACTCAAATCAGCCATGAAGTCCATGCATCAGTTAGAGGGCGTGTATTTAGATCCTCCGGTGTACGATACTGAGAAGGATTGTAGTGGTAAAAAGAGTAGGAGCGAGGCACACCACTTGGAGATGGTCCCTCAACCATTACTGAGTAAATGGATCCTTTCTTATACAATTGAAATAATAAAAGGAAAAGGAAATTGGGAAAGGTAGTAAAGGGAAATACCTGGAGAAATGAGGAGAGACTGCTCCATTCAAACTCAAACCCTAAAGCAGCCCTGTCGAGGCTTCCTAATAGTCTCTGCCAGTACGAGACCACCGATGCAACCCATGTCTTCCATTTGCCAAAAAACCATGGACAAAGGCGGCAGTGATCCCCCGAAGCCTGGAATCCCGGTTTAAACAAGAAAGCCAGGCCAACAAACAGAAAACTAAAGCCCGCACCTCCAGCCCTCTCCGGTTTTGGAGTCATCTGGTGAAGCCTCTGAGAACTCATCAATCAGGCAGAACCACAAGGCAGCAGGAACTCCCTTTCCTGTCATTAACGATCATAGCTCTACTTGGGGCCGGCTGAATCGAAACGGGTCTCAAAACGATCTAATATACCCAGCTTTTATCTCATAGCCTGACCAAAGGGCATTAGGGGTCACATCCCACAATGCACAAAAACTCCTCAAAAAAGAGGGGACAGTCTCTTCCATCATGCCCCGATACCGGAAACGTCGGGCCTCGGGGGTCCCAAAATCTAATGCAGGCCCTCAAAAAATCCCAATCAATTACCACACCTCTGAGAGTAATGGCAGCAGAAAAGGACTCGTAACCATCCCCAGAATTGATTCTTCTTCAACTTTGGAGAACGACTCCTAGCATTCCAGCTGTGCATGCTATGTCACCAATAGAAGGGATTCATTTTTCTTTTCTTTCTTGTTTTATGTTATCTTCCTCAAAAAGCAAAAATGAATAAATCTAAATAAGAAATAATGAAAAGACTGAAAAAAATAAAAATAAAAATAAAAAAATATAATAAAAAAAAATAAAAAAAAAAATAATTAAAAAACTTGACCGGAAATTGGACTTATTTCTGGCACAGAATTCGAGAAGAGAAAAAAAAGGGGCTGGAAATCCAGCTTTATAGAAGAAAATTCAGAGTCAGGTTGGCCCGGCCGGCGGCCCAGCGCCGAGCCGGTTGGCTCGGACCCGGCGGCCCGACCGCCCGAGTCGGCTGGCCCAGCCCGGCGGCCAGCCGCCGAAACGGCCGCGAGCCGGCGGCCAGCCACGGCGGCCAGCCGCGGACCGGCCGCCCGAGCCGCCGGGCCCCACCGGCGGCCAGCCGCCGGCCCCAAAAAAAAAAAAAAAAAAAAAAAAAAAAAAAAAAAAAAAAAAAAAAAGGAGAAAACTGAAATAAAATCCTTTGTTTTTCTCTCTTTCCTCTCAGACCTAATAAAAACCATGCATTACATGTTTTTTTTTTGTCAATTTTAGTTATTACTAGATCACAGTGCAGGTACAGATAAAGCTCAGTACCAAGATACATACAAGAGCAGTACAAAAGTCAGTACAAGATACATAATCAAGTGCAGGTGACAGACCAAAAAATTCAGTACAAGCAAGAAAAAGTAGACAGAAGAGCTATCAGCGGCGGGCCTCCTCCTCCTCTGATGCATACAAAGGGCCATCTGAGTCCAGGCCACAGCCACTTCTTGCTGCAATCCAAGAATCAGCTCCATCACTGATTAACCAAACCCGACAGAACCTGAAAGTCTAACAGAGAACACGAGTCAATATCAAACTCTTCAGAATCCTTTTTTGAAGATTGATCAGGTTTACCTCCAGTAATGTCCTCGGAAAGGAAGGAGCCAGGCGATCCACATTCTCCAGGGAGACTTCTCGAAGTAGTGGAAGGGGCCTCGGTAAACATGGAAATACTGATAGTAAGGCGGAGCAGTAACCAAGATTCCGGATGAAGCGGCCCAACGGTAGCCGTGCGCACGAATGGCCCGAGGAGCCCCCTTAGAAGGCTGCCGGAATCGGCTTAAGGCCCGGCCTCGACGCAAGAACCCCAACCGGAGTAGAAGAAGTAGGATCAGTCACAGGCCTCCTCCTTGGAGTCCTAGTTGTAAGACCCGAAGCCTCTCGGAAGAGCGAGTTGCCGAACGGCCTGAGCAAGGAGCGGTCCTGGAAATCACAAGACGAGATCCAATGGCTGCATTAAAATAATGCGCAGAACTTCATATCATAATCTCCCTCCATAACGAATTTCCAAGTATGGAATGTCGCCTCGGTATGAGGTAGCAGTGAGCACCATCTGTTTGCCCCGCTCGCATTCAGTGGCACCGGAGGGAGGATAAGAGAACAGAACGGTTAGCCTCTTATTTGACTGTCCACTCTTTCGCCCAAGTAATATCAGGCGTAGAATGGATGCGACAGAACCACCCCCGCTGATCAAAGTCTGCACCGCTGGGAAGCCCAGAATCAGCCTGAATCCAGCCGTAGACGGGCAGTCATTGGCCCCACTTCAGCCTTACAAGATTTTTATGTCTAAAAATCATTATTTAACAATCTAAATCATTAAAGCCCAACAATTAACCATTCCAAAGAGCATGTATCAAAGAAGGGCCTCTCAAGTTGCCTCAGCGAATTTCTTGCGCCGAACAGGAAACCACTTTGAAGACGTGATTTGTACCATCTCCAAGCCAAAGGTGCCAGCCCCAATTCAAAAGGTCAGCGGGAAGCAGCCGGGCAATGTGTAAGGAAAGTATCGATGCCCAGTCTGTCTGTAAAAGAAGAAAGAAAAAAAGAAGAGTCAGTGAAAAAAGAAAAATCCAGATGTAGAAAGGAGAATTTCCTTAAACATACCCTCCCAGAATAGTTAAGTCCGCTGAGTTTGGCAGTGACCTCGACTCAGAGCCACACAGTATCAATCATACGTGCGCTCAGAAGAGCAGCCAGCCCAGTCATACTCCCTTAAATGGGCCAAGATTCTCCAAAAAGCTCTTCAAGATTAGAAGGTTAAATCTCTCTTTTTGTTGGACCAGAAGGTCGAGCAAATAATAGCAGCAAGGTAAATCTGGGCTACTGAGTAGCCGTCAACTCTTCCCCGCCCAAATCTAGCATAGATGTCAGGGGCCTGGAGATATACCAGCGTCCAGAAATGCCTCAACGCGGGAGAGAAACGTTCCAGGCTCGACAATCCGGGGCAGTCAAGCCCAATCAACTCCAACATGCGGTCAGAGGAGATCTCAGACCCAATCATCATACAGCTCAATCGGTTCGAACTCCGAAAGGATCCCGGAAATCACAGAAAAATCCGTAGCTAGGAGTCATTGTCAGCTCGCCCCAAAGAAAAGTGGAAGGTGTTGTAGTGCCCAAACCACCTTCTCGGCCAAAGCACCCAATAATTTCCTTGTGATTGGCTTCCGAGCCATGTCAAGGTATGTCATTAATAACCCAGATTAAGACGTGCCACTGCGGAAATTGCACCCACCGGGTGGCTGTAATCAAGATTTCAGGGACCGGAAATTCCAGCTATTGAACTCCTCCGCCACATCCAACTTAAACCCGGCAACTCCTAAAAAGGTAAAATACCTAAGAATTACTCCTCGGTTCTACTAGGGTATATCTTAGTGCTTCCTAGCATGCATACAATGATAACACCAATGAAGCAAAAAATACAATTTTGCGCCTAAGCCTAAAAATCACAATTTGCCTTTATAGGACCCCCAACAAAAAAAATTCACATTTGGGCCTAGGCCCAATAAAATTCACATTTGGCCTAAGCCCAATAAAAATTCCTTTGTGGCTAAGCGCCCAAAAAATCACATTTTGGCACTAAGGCCCAAAAAATCACAATTTGGCCTAATATGTCCCAATTTAAAAATTCAATTTTGTGCCCAAGGCCCAAAAAATAAATTATATATTATTATGAGCTTACCTTCTATATTATATCTCTGTCACGGTAGCTTGGTGTTGGTATCAGCTTCCACTCCCATGGTATTGGCATCATCAAGGAGGGATCCCCAGAACTCCAGGAGGCTTCATCACTCTATAGCCTGCCATGGTGAGAAAGTTTGAGAGACATTTGGAGCCAAGCTCTTTGTTTTTTTGAAAGTTTGAAATGGAAATGAAAAAATGAATTCTTAAGCTATTTTTAAGGAAAGGCTGAAAGGCAGGTCTTCCGGACGCAGTCTGATTTTCGCCTCAAAATTTGTCTGTCCGAAACAACACCGACGCCCATAAATCATTATGAGTTGCCGTGGGGCAACTGTGAACACTCAAATTTTGAGGCTCAAAAGCCTGTTTTCTTCCGGACTGCGACAGTCCGAGCCGGCGACCAGAGATTTCCCGGAAAGTTCATCGGAAATTTATGCCAATATCGGTACTTGAAAACGTCCGGAAATACCAGGATCTCGGAACTGGCTCGGAAATATTTTTTGGAGGTCCGAACTCCCGGGAAAGCCCCAACGGGAATTAAACCTTTGCCTGCCCCGGTGGCTCAGCCACACGGAGCCAGCACCGAGCCCGCGGCCCATCCCGGCGGCTCAGCCGCGGAAGCGCCGCCGACCCGCGGCCCAGCCGCCGAAAGACCGGCCTGGCTGCGGGGGAAGCCGCCGATGGTCGCGGGCGCCCAGCCGGCGGGCTCAAGGCCGCCGGGAGGGCCGCATCCGGCGGCTCAGCCGGGCGGCCCGAGCCGCCGAGGACTTGGCGCCCGGCCGCCGGGGCGACCGCCGAGCCGCGGTCCATCCGGCGGACCAGCCACCCCGAACAGTCCTTTGCGCCTATACAATACAGGCCATCGGGGCCTCCTTTTTTACCGACTCAGTCTGTGTTGACGGACGCTTCCTTCCCCCTAGCGCTCTTTGCCGAATTTCTTTACTGCTTTCTTGCCATTTTTTAATTTTTAATTTCATTTTTATTGTTGTGATATTTGGCAACTTAAAATTAAATTAAAATTAAGTTCCCTTAACGAGGAGCGTTAACCTGGATTTAAGAAAGCGGTCGACGATAAATCAGGTACGCGTAACAAACTCCGCCTATTTATTTAGCACTTCATGCATGCTTCTCTTCTACTCCTTGTAATTCTACAACTGGCCATAAATGCATTCAATGTACATTCATTATAGGCAAGAAATTGCACACTCATTAAAGTATGATTAAGGCTAATGCACCGGTTAATTAACAATCGTGGGTGATTAAAGCCAAAATCCGAACATATTGCTTAAAAATCTATCATTAAATGGCTGTATGTGATGATTGCCTTTATTTCGAACAATTTTTCGGCTCTTTAGTTCCAGTCATCAATAATTGACTAAGAGCCTAAATTATCACGTTCTTTGGCATTAAATTGCACCTACATGCAGTTTGATTAATTACTTTTGGTAAAAACAAATTGCCAATAATAAGATCTATTGGTTTTTGCAATAAAAACGCTTTAAATGGTTCAAAATTTTGGCAAAATGCCTTAAAAACTAATCAAATCTTTTTTGGCTTTAATAAAAGCCTTAAATCAATCATTTTGGCGGACAATCGCCTTTTAAAATCAATCATTTTGGCAATCAGAATTGCCTAAAATCACTCTTTTGGCTAAAAAGCCTTAAAAATCAATCATTTTGGCGACATCGCCCAAAAATCAATCATTTTGGCAATCAAATTGCTCTCAATCAATCTTTTTGGCTAAAAGCCATCAAAATCAACATTTTTGGCATCAAATGCCTAAACAAACCAATCAACCTTTTGGCAAATGCCTAAACAATCAATTCTTTGGCACAATGCCTAAACAAAATGCCACCAAAGGCTACACACACTCATGCATAAACATCCATTTCAAAGCCCTCTAAAAGAGGCTATCGAACTACGTTGACTTTATCTTCCCATTCAAACGGAAGTTACGTAGCACGTCGGATCTAACCCCGGCGCAAGTCGAAACACTAAACATCTTTTTCATTTGGGTCTAAATTATTTCATCTTCCTTGCAAACATCATTCTTAGGTTAGTTTCATCAGCATGACATAGTTCTCGGGATCCACCTCCGGTCGAAGACCATGCCTTAGACATGTGGCTAATTTAATCAGTAACTAGGTTTAATTTAAAATGTCACTTAGGTTTTCCTAGTTACCCTAAAACAATTATGAAACAACATATGTATTTGTTATCTTACTTATAATTTTGGTGTTATTCGTACAGTTAATCTGCTTATAGGGCCGTGAAAAATGGGGGCGACTCATAGCATACACCAGGTGCAAGGTTTCTTCCTTTCAGTCCACATGCAATTCACATCCCATTATGGCATTTTTGGAGGGTTCACAGTTATTATTAAGAACATAACGTTAAATACAGCAGTCCATGCATGAATACCTCTCCAACTACTCTGTCAGTGGACATTAAGTCGGAGTGATGACATGCTGTTGTTCATTTGTTCCTCTAGCCTTCTACAAATACAAGTTTCCCTTTCTATCTCTTTCACATCCACGTTTAAAGCAAATCGGTTTCTTAATAATCCGACTTTTTTCTCATGGCTTTCTAGAAACCAATTCGTCTTTTGTTTCAACCGTTTCTGATGCACCTATGGCAAATTCCTCCTATGAACCAACTCGCCTGGCTGAAAATATTTCAAAGACTTGAACCTAACCATGCGTTTCTTATCTGGCTTCTTACACACTTCAATTTCAATCCTAACACCATGGTTTTCCGGTTTGAAGACTCTGAGGTAACTCCGACCTACGAGGAAATGTGCGCCGTGATGGGCCATCATCCTGAACAAAATGAAACTCCGGCCCTACCCCCAGGTCCTAGATACGATCTAGCTGAGATTGCGGCCTTGTGTCTGGTTTACCTCCCTAATGGCATAAACACGGATCAAGGCCTTCCCTTGGAGCCTTTTCTTAACAAGGTTCTGTTCGGGAATCTGGATCCTTCTTGGATTCGAGCTTATTGCTTGTTGTTGCTGAATGTGTATGTCATGAAAAACCGTCAACCCGGCATCGGAGATTTCTGACTTCTGACAGTTGTTCGTGACATGCAATTGTACCATCGTACTGTCTTCATGATGATCATGGGAGAAACAATGTGTTGGGTCAGGGATGTGGTAAAGGGATATTGCCCTTCCATTTCACCAGTTTCAATGTCATACATCGCGGTTGTCCAATATTGCGCAGGCCTGGGCCTAAGACAAGTTGAGTCTAACTTCTCCCGTCAAACCCTGCTCGTTTGATTCCAACCTATGGTCCATGAGCGCAACTTTAGTCTCGGACTCGAGGAACATTTTGACTTTGGGGATAAACCCAACAATTCGGGTGGACTTGTCCTTGGTGGAGAATCAGGCTGGTCACTATTGGGAAGTAATGAAATCTCAATTAGTCTGTTAATCTAGTCTAGTGACTGTTCCATGGCCAAATTTTTCCCAGACAGGGATAGTCAATACGGTATGATACGCGCAGTACCCCAATGAATTCATAACTTCGAGAGAGTGGTCTCATGACACTGCATCTGCTGACCAATTTAGCTGATCGTTGGCGAAACTGAATACCAAGGTATTTATGGTGAAGGAAGTGACTGCAGGATACTGTTGACAACCCTGAGTATGTGAACTGGTTTTTGCCCCATGGATGATAGTTAAGCTCTACAAGGGTCCGGTGTCTGATGGTAGCCTTTACTGACTAATGTTGTCATTGCTTTTGCTTTCTCTGTCCTCTTTTGAACTCGAGCTTTGAGCTCCTGTTTAATGTATCTGCTTTCTTTGAATCAATGAATTTGTTGTTTCTGCCTTTATTAATCCCTGCACATATGGACAACACCAGGCAACTGAACTTTTTCTTTCGAAACTATTCGTTGTGTTAGTTATTTGGGCCTCCTGCCCTTGGGTTAATAAATGAAAACTCATAAGAAAGAAACTATTCTGCAAAAACAAAAGCTTACGCTTGGAAACAACAAAGAAAGGAGTGACTACTTTATCACCTGTACAAATCAAACAAAAATAACGAATGTAACTCCTTTTATGTGTGCATGATCCTATGCAAGTGCTAAGGTTTATTCATGGTTTTATATTGATCTTTCCGGGGAAATCATTGAGAAAATGGTGCTCGTCCCTCCGATCAGTGTCTTAGGGGATTTCCTTGTTTAGGCGGGACCAAGAGCTATAAGATTTTAGACCAAGTGGGTCGATCTTTGTTTAAATAAGCAGAGAGGAGAGGTCTTGTACTCTTTGGCCATATCCCCGGAACAAAAGAAAAATCTTGAAATTTAAATCCTTTATTGATCTTACTTCTTTTCAACATTATACAGAAGTAAAGAAAGTTTATTCTAATACAATGGTCATTTGCTCTAACTACTCCATTTCCTATTCTCCTTCAAGTCGGGTTGATGGCGTTGAGCAATCAATCACACATTTATCACGAACGCATGGCATGGATTCTGCATTTAAACTAAGCACCACGCGTTGATCCTGAGAATTTTATTTTATTTTTATTTATTATTATTATTTTATTTTTTTATGCTCTAACTTTTGCCTAGGCCGCCCTATCGAGTTTTCAACCTAGCGAGCTTAATTCTTGCCTAAGCCGCCCTTTCGGGTTTTCAACTTAGCTAAATTTTTTTTTTAATCGAAATCATCATTTCAGTTTTTTTTTTTAATCGAAATAATCATTTCAGCATAGAATTTTTCATTTGGCTCCTGAAATTGCAATTCAGTTGACAGGGCTCCTCCTTCATAGTGGACCAAATCAGCGGCGCCTTTTGCTAAATAGTTTGTGAACTCTGAATGGTCCATGGCCATTGGGTTTAAATTTCCCACAGGAATGATTCTGGGCTTCCCATGACCAATAATCTGATCAACAACCAGAATCTCCGTTCCTTACTGCCTTGGATGTACTCGTTTATTGTAGAAACGAGCAATTCTTCTTTTCCTCATCTGATCCCTGGAAATCGAGCATTCAGTCCTCTTCCCGTCTAAGAGCGCCAATCTTCCATATCTCTTCTTTGACCCATTCCTCTTTCGGTCAGACCAGCCTCTAACCAAAACCCTGAGAAGAACTTCTCCTTTCGAGCTCTATGGGTAACACTTTGCCTCCAATTCCGAGATCATACGAAGTTTCGAAAAGGAGAAGCTCCGTTACTGATCTTGAATGTTAGTGCCGATGCCCCAGGAGTGGCAAAAGGAAGTTTCTTTAAGTCCCAAACTTCCTTGTACCTTTCGGCACATCTTCTGATAGGATTACCTTTTGATCCTCCTTATTCGCAGCTTCTAATAGCGGCCATTAGCCTGAGGGCGATAAGGAAAAGAAGAATGGTGATGTCAACCTTAGTATTTATAAAGCAATTGGCCAACATCTGCTTGGAAATGAGAAGCCAATTAATCTGTAACCTATGTGATGGGGAATCACCATAGCGACAGAAAATGTTCTGTTCAATGAAATCTAGCCAGTACATGTTTGGAGCGGTTAAGAATTTTATAAGAATATGAGCTTCAATCATCTAGAAAGTAGTCAACTGCAACCAATATATATTGAGTCGTTCGATGCTGCTGGTGAAATTTTGCGATGAACATCTATACCCCATGCAAAAAAGGCCAGAGAAGGAGTTTGTCGGATGAAGTTCAACAGCAGAGTAAGTGGAGCTTTTAATGTCATGGTTATTGGCAAGCTTTGCAATGACGCACATACTTGAACCACAGTCACCTTCATCACTGCATCTAGAATAATCCTTGACCCTCATGAATTTTTCTCATTAGCTCATGCCGCCTTAGATGA